TGCCACCCTCAGCCAGTTGTGACTCTATGATTACAATCAATACAGAAAGGGCTAGCTAAGGGGAAAAGAGAGAGAGAGAGAAAGGAACAGCACTGCTTCCTCCTGCATTTTCTGCTCTATTTTTTCCAGCCACTGGTGCTCTGGGAAAGCAAATGCTTTTTCAAGAAGGTCATGGAACCAGTCCCAGCACTGCTTGGGGCAGCGCCTCCTGTTAGTGCTGTGTTGGCATAAGGGAAGAGCCCTCAGCAGCAGACCTAGTGCCCTCTGTTTAAAGCTCGCTGTGTGCTGGGAGTACAGGACTTTTTCCTGTGCTGTGTATATGCTTTGTTCTTTGTAGAAGAACTTTATGAGTGGTTGAGAATGGTTGTCATCTGGGCTGTAAAAAAGAAAAGATCATTTAAAAAGCGTTTTAAACTGGGTAAACAGCTTTCTTTTGGTCCATCAGAAAATACTTTTGGTTTCCTTTGTTGTTCTTCTATGTCATTAATCTGTGTTCTCATGACTACTCTGCAGTAACCCCTCCCTGATGCAGTTTACTTATGCTTTATTTTAACAGGTGGAATTTCATGAAACTGAAAATGCCAGTGCCATTAGAAAGCAAAGGGCTTCTGTGACAAAAATGTCACAGCGGGAAGAGATGGTCAAAAAATGCCTTGGGGAACTTACAGACACCTGCAAAACTCTTGGGAAAATCTTTGATGTCCATTACTTCAATATTTTCAGTACTTCAACTCTAAAGAAAATAGCAGGTAATGCCAGCTCCTTGCTGGTCAGAACCCTCTGCAGGCAGTGGTCTGCATGTGTGGCTGTGCCCTTGGCTGCCAGCACATCCATGGTTGTTTAAAATTGAGAGAGAGAGGGTTTGACAGCTGAGTGTGTCCCTTGGGAGCAGCACCTGCAGCATAGGTTCCCCACAGCTGTGGTTAAGTACCACAGCCGTTCAGGTGATTGTGCTGCAAGGCAGATTTGAAACATTTTCAGAGAAAGCTTTTGGACAGGTTTCTGTGCTAATTAGCTGGAAGTAAATCTACCAGGAAAAAAAAAAAAAAAGGCTTATTTCCTAAATAAAAACAGAACCAATTTCCTCCAGAATATTCCACTGTGGTCTCTCTTAACACATTAGGTTGATAGGTCTGACCAGCACCTTGTTCTGTTGCAGAAACCTTGTCTTCTGATGCGGAGGTTTTGCTGCAGATTGATGGTGTCACAGAAGATAAACTGGAGAAATATGGTGCAGAAATCATGAAAGTGATGGATAAGTACTCTGAATGGACAACGCCAGGTATTCTTTGCACCTAAGCGTGCATTTTCCTATTTAATTCTCTTCCTTCCTTACCTATAAGAAGTTCCACTCAAAAGTTACCTTGTTTTAAACTCAATTTGCTATTTCTTGGAGTTCAGTAACTACAAAAGGGAGCAATTGCACCTTTTCAGAGTGTACAGAGATCTTTGCTGTCTTTTCACCAGTTAAATTCAGCACAGGTCTAAAAGACTGGAGAAGGAAAACAAAGAGTAAGCCTACTGCTCTGCACCTTTCCTGCTGGTTGCTGGGATTTGTGTAATATACTTAGTTACACTGAGACTCCAGGACCTTGAGGTTAAGGATCTTGCACCTCCGTGTATTTTTCCACCTGAATTTTCTGTGTTTGGGTAGCATTGCAGCCTGGCAGGCTGTCAGTAACCACTGCCTTTTATTTCTCATAATAACCGAGGTCAGAACATCTCGGTCTGCACTCACTAGCTCTCACTTAAATGTGAAGAATTTCAAAACTAGGTTGAAAAAAGACAAGTGGTGTTTTACCATCAGGTTGTGCAGCTCTTCACCTGAAACACAATGAGCAGCTCAGGGGAGCACTGAGCCATGTAAACCTGGCAACTTCATGCAAGCACAGCAGGTAGCCTGTGTTGTAATTAGGGCAGCAGCCATCAGGTTTGACACTGGGGCCATCAATAAATGCGTGTGTACAAACCTGACTTAAGTACTGCATTCTGCTGCCTGTGGGAGGAGTCATGTTCTTCCTGTTAGGACAGATTGAGAAGGAGATCTCTGCTGTCTGAGATGCCGTCAGCATCTCCTGGCATTGTTCTTAGAAACAAGTGCTGTATTTGACTGTATTATTTATGGTGGATTCCATAATTCTTTCCAGTGCGATGGCAGAAAGCCCAGTGGTACCATAATGGTTGAGACAAGAAGCTGAGTTAGTGAAAATAGGGACGATCTCTTTTATGTAGAGCATGGTGAGCTGTACCCAAACTGCCTTCTGGCTGTCTTTGCTTTACACCAGCCCAAGGAAGAAATGCCCCTAGCTGAGCAGGAGGAACACGGCGTGAGGAGGTTTGAAATGCAGGGACAGGGTTGGTAGGGTTAGCGTGCCCTGGCTGGCCCAGGCAGCCTTTCCATTTCATTAGCTGTGATTCACTGACTGTCTGCAGAAGATGCTGCCTGCCAGAGTGTGGACGTGGCCCCGGGGAGCGCTGGCACAGCTGGGAGTGAGGAGGAAGCAGAAGACAACATTGTGACCTCAAGCTATTTTGGTGGCAATGCAAACCAAAGAAGGAAGAGGAAAAGGCTGCCAAACTTCGGAGAATCCAAGAGGAAAAAGACGAGTGGTGGTGGCAGCCAGCAGTTTTATTCCAAAGGGTATGTTGGCTGGGGTCAGCTGGAACTTTTTGTCTGGGATAACGTGGTGATGATCCCAGAACTGCACTGTTAGCGTAGTGCATTTTCTTAGTAATTGTATGGGCTTACGTGCAGGTTAATTCATCCAGTACTGAGCTTTAAAGCTCAGCAAATGTCACTTCTGGGCTTTTCAGTGCAGTGCAGCACCGTAAGTAAGCCCCGATTTCATGATTCACCTTCCCACTGCTGGAAATCACCACGTGCAGGGCAAATGAGAGGTACATTCTCAGTGCTTTCATACTGATCACTTCTTCACTTGTAATTAGATTACATGATTGCACTGTAATCAAACTTCAGCTTTGTTTTTTCTTAATTGGCTTGACCGTGTTCTCCTCTGTAGGCATGTCGTTTTTGTTCTTTATCCTGCTGATCTGCTCGTAAAGCATAACTGTAGCACTGCTGCTGTTATTGCTCTTAAATCTATGCAAATTCACGCTGCTCACATAGCTTATGGGATCATGCAGGAAGTGTAGTGGTGTCTATATGAAAAATAGGTGTCTATTAGAGGTGTCTATATGAAAATACCTGCTTGATTTTGCACCTGCTTCATTTATGGCATGGAGGAGCTCACAAGGATAGCACTGAGTCGTACTGCTGTGTTCTCCAAAACACACTGTAAGAGCCCTGCTTGGACAGTCACACCTGACTAAACCACACTGTCTTTTGTTAACTACCAAGTTTTAGTCACTTGTGTCAGAAATGGCACAGCACACCTTGTTAGGACTGGGTGCTTGCTGCCACTGCTGCTCTTGTTCTGGGATTCCCCTTTTGTGCTGGCTGACCCCCTCCGGAGGGGGTCCAGGTTTTTATGCATCTGTCTATTTGTAGGAAAGAGCAGTTCCAGCTCAGCAGGCTTTATTCTCACCCTCTCCACCTTCCCATCTACTAAAATGTTAGTTGTTACATGCTGTTGACCCTGAAATGTCACTTAATGTTGATACTCTAATTGGATTAATGGGAGTCAGGTTGGTCAGTGTCCCTGGTTCAGGCTGCTGCTCGCCCCTGGGCAGATGTCACAGCAGCAGCTACACTTCATTTGCATTGCAGAAGTACAGTCATCCAAAGACTCTTATTTAGTGTGCAACTGCATAAACACACCGGGGGCAGGGAAGGGGGCAGTGCTCCGTGCTTCACATGTAACGCTGTGCTCTCTCCAACCATGGCAGGGCCAAATACAGGCGGACACGAAGGGCGCCCGGCTCGAGGGCTGCAGCTCCTGCACACAGCTCAGCAGTGCGTGGGGCCGGGGCACGGCTGGGCATCATGGCACCACCCAAACCCAGCGGCAGGCACTTCCTGCAGCCTGCCTACGCCGTGCTGCAGTGAGGGACACAGCGCTGTGATGCCGTCCTGGGTTGGTTAGTAGTGTTTATTTCATTTGATTGAACCTTGTTAGATTTGTATATTTGTCAAGTCCAAAAGTTCACGTTAAATAAATATTTTTTTTAAACTCGTGAATTTATTCAGGCTTTATTTCTACTGTAAGTTCTGTAGTGAGACCCATCCCAGCAGCTGCACTAACACTGCCTGGGGATGCACTCAGGATGGCAATCAGGAGCAGTTACTGAAGCTGTGAACCCCAAGGATGTGAACAGCTCTGTTCTTCTGCCTTGCTGGTTGTGTAAGTACTTCAGAGCTGGAGAGCTGAGGGGCTCTAAATTTACATGGAATCATAGAATGGCCTGGGTTGCAAAGGATCACAATGCTCATTTGGTTCCAAGCCCCTGCTGTGTGCAGGTCACCAACCAGCAGCCCAGGCTGCCCAGAGCCACATCCAGCCTGGCCTTGAATGCCTGCAGGGATGGGGCATCCACAGCCTCCTTGGGCAACCTGTTCCCGTGCCTCTTGGGGTGTTAACCTCATGTATAAAACACAACTTAGCAGTTCTAAGTTTCAGTTTGTGTCCCTAATCCTGGGGCTGGAACAGCTGCTGCTGTGTCCCCACGCTGCTGTCAGTGCACTCCTCTCATGCTCTCAGTTAGCTGCTGTTTTGCTGCGGGCACCAGGCAGCCCCGTGGTGTCCCAGGCCTCCAGGACCGCACGGCTTCCTCCACGTGCAGGTGCTGTGCCGGAGGAGCGGCGGGCACGGCTGCGCCGCGCGCCGTTTGGGTGGAGCGGGCGGTCCTGGGGGGTGGAGCACCGCGCCTGGAAGCGCTGCGATGGGTTTTATGCAACCCGGGGCACGTTTCAGCGTAACCTCCTCCTGTCCTCCGTCCCGAAGCAGTATCGGTGCCGGGATGGGAGCTGAGGGCCTCGGGGCGAGGCGAGAGCCTCGCGTTGTGCCGGGAGGGCCAGGATGCAGGGCGGGGAGTGACGGGTGGGTGCGGGCCGGGGGCGCGGCGGGGATCTCGGCGGGCTTCCAGCCGTCCCGGCCCCGCGATGCGACGCAGCTGCGGGGTGCGATTCCAGCACGGCTCCGTTCCACCGATCGGGGCGGCCGTGAACGCAGCCCGGCTCTCCACAGCCGAACGGCCCCGTTCCGGCGCCGCGCACCGAACGCCGCCCCGCCCCGCCCCGCGGAAGGCGCCCGGGAGAGGCGGAGCCGCTGCGGGACGCGGGAAGGGCCGGATCCGCCCCGCGAGGAGCGCCGCGCTGATGGCGGCGGAGAGCGGGACGGCGGCGGCGGAGCGCCGGGAGTTGTCGCCGCGCTCCCAGCAGCAGATGCAGGTCGGGCCGGGAGGTGGGGGCGGCTCGGCTCGGCTCGGCTCGGCTCGGCTCCCCGCTCACCGCCGCGTCTCTCCCCGTTCCCCCCCCTAGGAGCGCACCCCGCCGCCCCCCGCCGCGCCCCCCCCGGCCCCGCAGCCGGCCCCGCGCCGCTCCCCGCAGCTCCGCGTGCTGCTGACGCCGCTCCCCGCGCCGGGCCGGCGGCTGCCCCAGAAGCGGCTGCTGGGCGCCTACGACGGGGCGGCGGGGGGGGACGGGAAGCGGCGGCGCGCGGAGCCCTGCGGCCCGGAGCGCGCGGACAGCGGGTCGGACGGCGACGCCGACAGCGACGGGACGGAGTTGGGGCAGGTGGGTGCGGGACACCGGGGCGGGCGGAGAACGGAGGCCCCCGCCGTTTCCCGCGGCGCGGACTACCGGCCGCTTTCGCCGTAGGACGGGAGCCCGCAGCTGTCGGCGTACGAGAGGAAACGGCTGAAGAACATCTCCGAGAACGCCAAATTCTTCGCCGCTTTGAAGCTGCACGAGGTCGGTGCGGGTCCCGGCCGTGTGACCGCCCGCTGGGCGCTGCTCGGACGGAGCGGCTCCGTGTGCCCGACGGCCGCGATGGGGGGAGCCGTGCGGCCGGCGCTGCGCGCAGAGCTGGGGGGGCTGGGAGCCTGCCGGGCTCCGGGACGCTGATGTGGATCTTCGGGGAGGCGGTGATGCGCTGTGCTTTGCGCTCCTGCGCTGAGCGTCCGGCCAGCAGCCTTTGGCGTTCCTGCTGCTTTGTAAGGAAGTGGCTCCGGGGCACCCAGGCAGGATTCAGACTGGCTCCAACGCAAGGCAGAGCACGGCCTGATATGAAAGCCCTCTTTTTGCTATTTGTTACAAATAATTATTGCTAATTGCAGCCTTTGGGTGGTTGTTGTTATAGAGCTCCGTGTTTTGTGCTCACTGGGTGTGCTTTTAACCTCTGCCTTTCTGTTCTTAAGTCAGCCGCAAGACTCCACCAAATCACAGCTAAAGGACCATCTCATGTCACCAGGAGGTAAAGCTGCTGTGTGAGAGGTGTGGCTGCACCCTGAGGTGTGTGAGCCCTTCTTTGTGTGTGTCTGTGCTCAGAATGGGCAGAGCAGCCAGCAGCTCTGGAGCCGTTAGCAGCTCATGGCCCTGCTGTGCCAGTGCTGAGCTGTGCTGCTCGGCTCTGCCATCCCATGGCATGCAGTGCTGCTGTGAGCGCCCTTCTATCATGTGTCAGAGTGTGTTCCCTTCATCCTGTTTGTCTGAAGGTGTTTCAGGTGCTTTTTGGTTTCTTTTTATTCTCCTTCCCTGAGATATTTCTTTATTATGGCCAAAGGGAGAAGTGCTGAGTGGTGTAAGCAAAGGGCAGGGAGAGGAGAGGGGAGCAGGGCAGCGGGAGGAGCAGGCAGAGGGAGGGGATGGGGGGAGCGGGGAAATGCATGGCATTAATGCAAAGTAATGGGGACTGTGATGAAAGGAGGGAGAAGATGAGCAGATCAGTGAGTGGAAGGATGAATTATAAATGAGGAGGGATGGGAGGAAAGCGGAGTCAGGATGTAGTACAAGGAAACAAATGTCATAAATCCGTGTGCGCTGCCACTGCTCTGTTGTTCTCTGCTGTTACCGAAGGAAGGAGCGATGGCAGCGTGGGGCAGGGCAGTTGGGTTCAGGTGTCCGGGCTGCAGGGCTGTTCTGTAGTGTTTTGCTTGGAAATTGTGCTTATGGAGGAGTTCTGTTACTTAGCAGTGCTGTCATTGCAGAGCAAAGCCCAGGAAGGCTGAGGGCAGCACAGTGCAGCGCAGGTCCATGCGGCTCCAGAGGATGCAGCCCCCAGAGGTCCCCCAGGTGGAGGCACCGGCGCAGGAGGAGGAATATGTGAGATGGGGCTGGGGCTGGGGGGGCTGCAGGGGGACAGCCGTGTGCTGCTGAGCGCTGCCGTGCTCCCTGGAAAGTCCTTCAGGCTGTGCTGCTGGCAGCAGGGGAGTGCACACCCTGAGCACTGCACTGCCTGCATCTCCTCCGAGGTGATTGATGTTCGGAGGTGGTTGGTGCTCAGAGGGCCAAAAAAAAATGAGGCAGTGCACCTCAGAGTGCTGCTGAGGGTCCCCGGGTGCTGCAGTCTGCGTTTCTCAGCAGCCTGCAGACACGAGCAGTGTTATGCTCAGCTTTGTGCCAGTGGTTGGTGTGAACTGTGACCCCCTGTCCCCGTGTCCCAGCCCCAGGTCCCCGCTGGACCGCTGCCCATGGCCGCGGATGGGCAGGAGGAGAGCAGTGATACAGCATTGCTGGGCACCTGGCTGCGGCTGAGCGAGGTACGGCTGGCTGCCTTTGGTGGCATCTCTGGGCAACATTGCTCGTGTCCTACGTGGTCTCATTCTGATCTGCATCTCTTTTCAATCCTTAGATGAACACTAACGACACTGAAAAGCCCACGTGTGACATGAAGAGGTAATGGGAGGTGGCACAGAGTCTGGTGTGGGCTCTGCTCCTCCCTGGGGTGGCTGATGTGGCCGTGTGTGCAGGTACCAGGCTGCCCTGAGCAGCATGCTGCTGCGTGAGGATGGCATCAGGAAGGTGGTGAGCAGCCGTGTGTGCTCCGTGGCCATCCACCCCTCAGAGAGCACCGTGCTGGTGGCAGCTGGTGACAAGTACGGTCACGTCGGGCTCTGGGACGTTGTAAGTGTGCTCCTCTGCCTAGCAGCGCCGTGCTGGCACGCTGTGAGCCATAGCATTGCCATTCCTGCTGGGGGGCTCAGCTAACGGCAGTGCCGCGGGAGCTGTGCTGGGTGGGAGGCTGAGGGGGGAGGAGGGATGCTCAGCAGTTTGGGTTCTGGGTTTGTGCTGGACTGACCAGCTTCAGCTGTGTGTGCCTCAGCTGTGGAGGCGTTTGAAATGCTCCACTCAATGTTGGAGACCTCTGACCCCTGCGGCCCCTCCCACAGCTCTCCGTGGTCCCATGGAGCAGCAAGCGCTGCACAGCTGTGGCAATCGGTGGTAAGCACTGCAATGGCTCTCACTAAGCATCCGTTTATTGGCTTTTGTTATTCAGAGCTGTACAAGCGAGGGAGGAGCACACATCTTCACCCCACACAACTTATCCGTCAACTGCATGCGCTTCTCGCCCTCCCACCCCGCACAGCTGCTGTCCCTGAGCCACGACTCCCTGCGCTGCGGGGACGTCAGCAGGGCGGTGTTCGATGAGGTGGGTGCTGCCCTGTCCTGCTCCCATTGCAGCCCAGGTGTTATGTGTGGGTTAACAGGGGGGTCCCATTCCCATGGGGGCACACGAGGTGGCTTTGACTGCTGTCAGGAGGGCGGAGGTGCTGCTCAGCCAGTCACACTTTGGCTGGGGTGGCTGCAGCTCTACATTGTAGAAGGAAGGAGGCTGGAAACTAAACTGAGTGTGTCCCTTCCCAAAATCAGCACTGCTTGAAAGTGGGGAATGAAGGCAGCTTAAAGAACTGAAGCCAGCACAAAGCATGAGTCAGAGACTTTGCTCTTCCCAGGCTTCGAGGGAGCAAAGTGTCGTGACTGTCCGTGCTGCAGCAGCTGAGGGGCCTCATGGTGCTCCGTTTGCTTGCAGTCCAACCCATCTGCACGGAGCAGCAGTGGCATGCAGGGCCAGCTGAGGGGGGGTGGTTAATTGCCAGCTGTGGGAAAGGTGCACCATTTCAACAGATGGGTCACGCAATGGAGAGCTGAGGCTGGAGCTCCCCAGTCAGCTCGTTGTCTGTAGAGTTTTCAATATCCAAAAAATGCCCAGTGTTTGGTGTTGTGTGTGTTATTATTTATGGTTGTATGATTTTACTTTCCTTTGCCCCCTTCGGCGCTCAGATATGCAGAAGTGAGGACAGCCTCTCCTCCTTTGATTTCCTGGAAGACAGCGCCTGCACGGCCATCGTGGGGCTCTGGGGGGGCACAGTGGCTGTGGTGGACAGGCGGACCCCGGGGACGTCGCCGGAGCTCTCTGCAGACATCGGCTTCAAAGTGACGAGGACGGTGGACGTGCACCCCGTGGACAAGCAGTACTTCCTTGCTGCTGGCTCTGTGTACGTAGCTCAGAATGCACTGCTGTTGTGTGCTTGGGACGTTCCGTGGGCATGGCTCTGATGTCTGCTGTAAGGGGCACTGTGCAGAGCAGGACTGTGCTGGGGGTGGTTCTCAGAGTTGCTGGATGGTCCCGGCTTCCTTGGCTCTTAGAAAACCCATTTTTAGTCCTCAGCAGCGTTTGAAATGATGGAATCTTGTTTTACAATCCCTTACCTGCTGCGTTGCAGTGATGTCTGTGTCTACGACGTCCGATGGCTGCGGCGCAGTGGGAACAAAGCTGTGAGCACCCTGCATGGGCACACCAAGAGCGTGGCCTCTGCCTACTTCTCACCCGTCAGCGGGCGGCGCGTGGTCACAGTGTGTGCAGACGACAAGCTGAGGTGAGGCTGGGGGGGCTGAGGCTGTGGATGGGGGGCTGAGGCTGTGGGAGGGCTGAGCCTGCAGTGCACTGGTTCATTAGTTCCTGTCTTTGTTGCCCACCACTGAGAGCATCCTCTGCCTCCGTCACTTCTTGAAATGGCATTTTGCGTAGGCGTTCGTATGCTGATTTTGATTTTATTTTTCTGATTTTCATTTTCCTGAAGAATGTTGATCAGGGAACCTTTTTGGTCATTACTCAGCTCGTGCTGCTGAGCCTTTTGCCCCCATACAGCTGCTGTGTGGGGAAGGAGAGCCCAGCAGAGCTGTGCCAGTGGTCCCACCCTGGGAGCTGCTGGCAGTGCGCCTTCATCAGGGTTTTCCTTCCTTGTCCCAGGCACCTTCTTGTGCCACAGTGAAATGGACGAGGTATGGGATGGGGGAACCTGTCATTTGTGCTCTGCTGTCCTCACAACAGCTTTCTGGAAGGTCTGTCCTCAGTTTGTGTGAGAGGAAATTCCCGTTGCTGAGCGTGGTTGGGACGTCAGTGCTCACAGCTGAGTGCTGCACGCTGTGTGGGTGCTCAGAGTGCTCCCCGAGGTGGGGCTGCCTCTTCTGCCACATCCAGTGTCCATCAGCACAGCTTGTTTTGTCCTACAGGGTTTACGACACCAGCTCTTTATCGGCCACCTCTGCCCTCCTCAGCACTGTCAGGTACGGCGGGTGGCTCTGCGGGGTTGGTGGCTCTGCGGGGTGGGTTGGTGGCTCTGCGGGGTTGGTGGCTCTGCGGGGTTGGTGCTGCACGGGGTCTCACAGCCAGGAGGAGGCAGCAGCTTGTGATGGCTGCAGTGCGTTCTGTTTGAACGCTATTTCTCTGTGCATTTCTAACATAGGAGGGGTCACTGAGCAGTGAAGGATGTGTTTCCAAGAGGTGCTGCTGCTCGCAGAGCTCTGCCAGCTGCCAGGCTTGGCCCCTTGGGGTGGGCACCAGATCAGGGGTGGGTGTGACCCAGATTGCTTTGAGGCATGGAAGAATAGGATCGTGAAGGTTGGAAAAGACCTCTGAGACCATCAAGTCCATCCGTGACCCATCACTACCCATTCATTTCCGTGTGTCCTCTGGGTTCTGTTCTTGCTCCGTTTCATTTCTTTGTCCCTTTGCAGCCCCGTGCCAGCAGTGGGAGCTGGCAGTTTGTAGGGGGCAGCAGGACGGGTTGTGGCAAATACAGGGTATAGATGATGGTGCTTTCCTGCTGCAGTTCTGCATCTGCTCTGCAGGCACAACAACAACACGGGCCGCTGGCTGACGCGCTTCCGCGCCGTGTGGGACCCCAAGCAGGAGCAGTGCTTTGTGGTGGGCAGCATGGCGCGGCCGAGGCAGATCGAGGTGTTCCAGGACACGGGGGAGCTGCTGCACGCCTTCTGCAACCCCGAGTGCCTGGGCTCGGTGTGCTCCATCAATGCGTTCCACCCCACCAGGAATGTCCTCGTGGGTGGCAACTCCAGTGGCCGCCTGCACGTCTTCATGGAGTAGGGAGGGGCACGGGGGGCTGTCCTGCATGGAGCTGCGGGGGAGCAAACTGCGGCTTATAAGTGCTTTATCTGTGTTTGTGGTTAGGCATTCCTTTCAATAAAAAGATACTAAGCTAAAGGTGGCAGCCAGCGGGGTTTATACCAAAAGAGCTGTTTTCCCTGGTGAGGGACTAATGAGGGAAGGTCTGGGGCACATCCGAGGGGCAAGTGGCACATCTGGGGGAACATCTGGGCCCCGGGGGGTACAACTGGAGGCACACCTGTGGCATGTCTGGGGGAACTGGGAGGCACAGCTGGGAGAACATCTGCGGGCACAACTGGACGCATCCTGGGGCACAACGTGGCACATCTGGGCAACATCTGGGGACACGTGCCACACCTGGCTGTCACCTTGCTGCTGGCTCCATGGCCTCACGCTCAGCTTTGAGGTGTGCGAGAGCAAACAAATCTCAAACCAAGTCAGTTTTGTTTTTGTTTTTTTTCCATGATATTTAAATATTTATTTCAATTTAAAAATACTTCTCATGGCACCAATGATTTTATGCTCACTAAGATATCGAATATGTAGAAAAAGGTACATTTTGAAGGAAAATGTAGCTTACAGTATTTGGCACATGAAAGGTTAATTCCTAGGTTTTTCTTATGAAAACTAAGAAATTCACATTTTCAGGTATTTCACCGTCTACTGCGCAAAGATGCAGTACGCTACGACTCCGTTTTTGTTCGACACGAGAACCTATGGAAACAACACCCGAATATAAAGACATAAAACTAACAGGTGCTGGGACACCGGACGTGGGAAAACATAGCATGGACATTACCCATTTCCTGTGGTTTTGGTGGTAAAACGCCGGGTGAGAAGGGCGGGGTTCTGTGGGGCTGATGGCATCGCTGTCCTAAAGGAAGCGGATGGAGGAGGCCGAGGTTGGCGGTGCTGGGGGCACCGGGCGGGGGCTACCACGCACTGCATAGACACACTGACTACGGGCTGAGGTAGGAACACTACACTACGAGTGAACTCGGCTACGTTGCATAAACGGGGTCATGGGGACAGCGTGGCTGCGGCGGCCGTATGGGCAGCGGCCACGTGGTGGCACGGCACAGCCGTCCTGCTGTCTGGCCGCCATGTGGCACCGTCTGGGTCAGCACGTGGCAGCCACGTGTCACCATGTGGGTCGTGACGTGGGTCACTGCGTGGCAGCCACGTCACCATGTGCCATGTGTCACCAGGTGGCCGCAGCGCAGCACTGCATAGCTGTCGTGGCACCACCCGGCCGTGCCCTGTGCCCGGCGTAGCTCTGCTGAGCACGGCAGCGATGGCCCCAGCGCTGTGAGATCTCTCCCTGAGATGAAGTAGAGCTGCTCGGCCACTCGCCCTGTGTCCAGCGGCAGCCCCAGCGCACCCGCACTGGCATTATTGCTCCTGGGGAAGGGCTGTCCCCACTGCCCGGCTCCACGCGTGCCGTGAGCTAGCGGCGTGTTTTTGCTTAAGGAGGGATGGAGAGCGATGGCTGTCCGGTGGCTTTCCAGCCTCACCTCTTCTCCAGCAGTGCTGTCCTTTTGTCTTCGGGAAAGTCCTAAAATCACCGCTCCTCTCCGTATCCCAAACCAGGAGCGGGGCAGATGGGTGGCAAAGCATCCGCCGCCCCCTGGAGCCCCTCCACAGCTTCGCCCCGGGCGGAAAGTAAAAAAAAGACTCGGGATCAATAACAAAATAGCTTCTCGTTGTTAAAATAGACCTCGAAACAGTCTTCTTTTGTACAAAAGGAGCTGAGCGCGGGGCCGTGGCACTGCCGGGGTGCCCAAGGGGCGGCACGGAGGGTTCCTGCGGCGCGGTGACACGGGGACCATCCTGTGCAATGCAGCCCCCAGGAGGATGCTGGCGCAAGGATGAGCGTTAATAGCAAAATAAATTCCTCTCTTTATTCGGTTCTCCCACCGCACCCCGCAGGGGCGGGGACCCCTGCAGCGCTTCCGCTCTTCTCCTGCGGAACGAACGGAGCTGGGGCCGCGGGGCCTCAGGTGTCAGTGAGCAGAGCCACCACAGCGCGGAGCTTGCAGGCAAACCATCGCCTGAGGGGACAAAAGTATTGGTAATGGAACTGCTCGAACTCGGGGGTCTGGCGGATATCGCGGAAAAAGGCAGTGTCAAGGTCGGACTCGGTAAGGACGATGAGGAGGAGGAGCAAGACAAAGAGGAGTCCCACTGTCACGAGGAGCAAACGGAGGACACTTAAAACAAACTTATTCACCTGTTCTGCCCGCGGCCCGCTGCTGGCACCCAGGCACAACGCGCGCAGCTCGCGCGGCTCCTCGGGCTCCGTGCCGGGCGTGCCGGCCTCCGACTCCTTCTCCTCCTCAATGCTGCACGGGGCTCCGTTCAGCTGCCGGGACAGCAGCAGCAGCTCCAGGCTGTGCTCGGCCACCGGCGTGGGCAGCACGCTGTCAGCGGGGCTGTAGCTCTCGTCGGCGATGATGGCCACGCGTTCGCTGCTCTCGGCGCGGCCGCCACGGCCGTGGGGCACGAAGGCGTCGCCGTGGGATGCGGAGCGCACCGGCGTGGAGTGGGCGCTGTCACGGAGCGACTCCAGGCCTGGGGGACGGGGGAGGTCAGCACGTGGGGCACTGAGCTGCCCCAGACCCAAACCGCCCACGCTGTGCCCTTGGTTTGTTCTGCTATTGCAGCGTATGGGGTTCCGTTCTGTTCTATTCCTTTCCATTCGCTTTCATTTCATGCCCTGCTATTCCATTCTATCTCCTTCCATTCCATTCCATCCCATCCTATTTCATTCCATACTTTTCCATTCCATTCTATTCCATGCCATTCCATTCTATCTTATCCCATTCTCTTGCATGCCATGCTATTCCGTTCCATTCCATTCATCTCCATTCCATCCAACTTCATTCTATTTCATTCCATACTATCCCATTTCATTCTATCCCATTCTGTTTCACTCAATTCTATTCCATTCCATTCCATGCCATTCCATCCTATCCTATCCCATTCCCTTGGGTGCCATGCCATGCCATTCCATTCTATCCTATTCCATTCCTTTCCCTTCAGCTCCATTCTGTTCCATCCAACTCCTTTCTATTCTATCCCATACCATTATTTTCTGTTCCACCCCGCCATAAATCATGATAGAATCACACACTGGTTGGGCAGGAGGGGCCCTCACAGCCCCCTGCGTGCACAGCTGTGTGCAGCACAGGGCTGCGACAGCTCAGCACCTGTATGTGTGTGACCCAGCACTGCTTTCCAGCAGCAGCAGAAATAGCTGCGTGCACGGCTGTGTGCCCAGCCTGCTCAGGTTACAGCTGAGCCAGAGCTGCCCTTTAGGAGCTGAACCCTGCAGGCAGGGCAAGAGGGGCCCTTCTTCCCCCTATCAGAAAAAAAACCGACAGAAATTCCCACCTCCCAAAAAAGCCCTGTAAAAGTGCAGAACGAGGCAGGTGACAGCAGCCAGTTGGAGCTCTGGGGGGCATTTCCCCGGGGGGCTCAGGGCCCTGGCATTGTGCCATGGGTGCTGCCCCAGCGCATTCCCCTGTGCTCTGCCGCCTCCTGCTCGCAATGCTGCTGGATGCCTGTGGAGCCGCGGGCACAGCAGGGCACAGCATGCAGCATAGCACAGGGCACAGCATGGGACATAGCAAGGGGCATAGCGTGGGGCTTAGCAGGGAGCTTAGCACGGGGCTGTGGGCATGGTGGGGGGCATGGCGCGGGGCTTAGCACGGGGCTGTGGGCATAGCACAGGGCATAGCGTGGGGCTTAGCAGGGCAGTGCAGGCACGGCCAGCCACATTCACACCCTGACAGCTGCTTCACACAGCCTCAGGGCACTGACAACCATTTCCCACTGTGCCCAAGAGGGAGGGCAGTGACAGCCGCCCCCAGGCCAACCCATGCCACCGCCCCCAACTCCATGAGCTGAGAAATGTGGGGAACGTGGGGTCCAGCCCCAAACCAAGGGGTCAACGGTGATAACATCCCACTGGCGGGGGGCACCCAGAGCTCCCTGCACCCCAACCCCACATCCCCCACACCCCCCCCCGGGGCTGCTGTCCCAGGACCCCCCCCACCACCCGGCCTCACCTGCTGCGTGCCCACCCGGAGCGTGGGGGCTGGCGCTGGGGCCGGGGGGAGCGGGCAGCAGGGGCAGAGCCCCCAGAGCACGTGCCAGCAGCCGCGGCCCCAGCGCCAGCACCCGCACCCGCACCGCGCGGCAGCAGTGGTTGATGAAGCGCAGCTGCACGCTGACCCGGGTGGTGATCTTCACCAGGCACTTCCCCATGGCGTGGGGACGGCGGCACAGGGACGGAGACCCACCAACAGTGGCACGCTGGTGGCCCCACTGCTGTTTGGGGCTATTTTGGGCTTCTGCAGTGTCACAGCTACCAGCGAGGTGACGGTGACACGAAGCGGCCGTGGGCACGGTGCCGGCACGGTGATGGATGGCGTGGCATGCAGCCCCACACCATCTGCAGCAGCACCCAGGGAAGGGGGGGATGGGGCCCTGGCTCTTAGCAGGCCCCAAAGCACAGCCCCCACCCAGCCCTGAGCTCCCACATAAATAGGGGGGTCCTCAGGAGGTCCCTTAAATGCCCTCCTGGTGTGAGCATGGTGGGGTCCTGGGCTGTGCTGTGGGGGCTGCACATGGATGGCACTGCAGGGCTCCCGGCAGCGCAAGGTTCCAGTAGGACCTCAGTGACCCCAAATGCAGGGAAACAAAGGGACACCGAATGTGAGCACATGTGCAGCTGTGCTGAGTGCCCAAAGCAGCTCAAACCTGTGGCTGTAGGTGGGATTCATGGGAAGTCACAGAGCAGGGGACCCAGGAGGCACTGCACTGCTCAGCCCTGTTCTGTATGCTCATTCCTAGTGAGGCATCGCAATGACAGTATTAAAGTTCAGGTCCTGTCTGCGTCAGGCCCAAAACCCCATTGCCCTGAGCCACAGCTGCAGCCACAAAGCTTGGGCCCTTTGCTACCCACTCCCTGAACAGAGGCAGCAGATCTCCTTCCTGTACATCCAGGTGCACGGCTAAGCATGCCTGCCCCACGTGCGTACCTTCCATGATGGAGATGTGCACAGCCCTCCTGCGGGTGCGCGGCACGCTGCTCAGCCGGGGGCCGTGGGTGATGGAGGGGCAGCTCCTGCTTGGCACCAGCCCAGCCCTGAGGAGAGAGCAGCAGTGAGGGGCCGCCCGCTGGGGCTGTGCGATGCCCCAAATGCCCCGCAGTGCCAGGCTGTGTGGTGCCCTTACCGGTGGATCTCTGGCGGCTCCCGCTTGATCTTGGCACTGGATTCCATCACCTCTTTTGCAACGCGGCCGCTGTGGGTGGGAAGAAGAGCAGTGTGAGCACGGGGACAGCAGCCCTCAGTGCCTGGGGTCCCATCCCTGCATGCTGCGCTGCCCACAGCGGTGGCATCACCCCGTGGCTGAGGATG